ACACAAAGTATCAAAGTAAAAGTACTGTAGTGCAGTAAAATGTTGCTGTCAGTGTTTCACTACGAGATCTGATGTTTCTGGATTAATATCCCTGTTGCATTAATGTGGCTGTTGTATTTTACTGCTGGAGCTAATTTTCACTAAAAACAGTTTTCAGCTTTGTGATGATGTATTTTCCAGCTGATAAGAAGGAGGAGGTTTGTCTCAGCCCATAAAGGAACACCTGCACACTCTCAACATCACCACATCTGGAGACACAGTGTTTTCACTGGACGGGAAGGGCATGAAAAAACTGTACAGTAACAGACAAATGTAGTGCAGTTTAAAGTTGAAGTACAATGTTGCATACAATTGAAATACTTCACTCACTAAAGGACCCTGCAAACATGAGACACGTCTCTGCGAGGACATAACCTTGAGACAGCACAGTTTGATTAAAGCCTAATCCTTTACAGAGAGAGGTGAAGACTGTGACGTTCATTACACACAACAGGCAGCAGAAAATCAAGGTTGCAAGTTGCAGATATTTTTAGCTCTTTATTAGTGAGTGACCCGATGCAAAGGTCATGTGGTTTCCAAAATCAAAAGGGTTTATTTTATGTAGGAGGACATTTGGGGACATCTGAGACTCCACTTGCTAACTGTACATGTTATATGTTATATGTTAACATATTCACAGGCTTAGTTATCATGTTAATGTTGAGTATTTAAAAAATATTCAGTGTTTGCACTTCAGTGTGAAGACTTAAATAAAATCCAGCTGACGAAGATTCAGTCTTTAGTTTCAGAGGTATCTGCTTCCTGGTCTCTGTTCCTCTAAATAATAATAATTTACTAAAAGAACTGCTGACAGCTGACAAGTAGAAACATTTTCTCAGAGACTTCATCATCATGAACATTTTGACCCTGACATTTTTGTTTGTTTTAGAAAATAATTTGCAGAAATTTTCCCAAATACTGGTTTGTGTGACACATTAATATCGTTTGTTACTGGAAATGTAGCTTCCTGACACATTGTTGCGCGACTGTTGGACCAACTGACCTGTCTGTTTTTCCTTGTGTTATTTCTGTGTGTGTGTGTGCAGGTGTCAGTGAGATGCTGTCCAGTGTGTTGGAGGACGTTGGTCACGCTGTCTTCAGAAACATGAATGGTGCTCAGCTCCTGCAAGAACTCCTGAGTGCACCGTGGCTCCGAGCCCTGCTGAAGGTACAGCCCCGACCCCACAGCCCTGCAGAGGCGCCGCGTGGACGCCAAGCGATGACGTCCTTTCCTGTTTTGTCTCTCCAGATGTACGAGTGCCTGTTGCAGTTCCAGAGGTTGACACCCAGCCCCTTTCTGCCTTATGCCTCAGGACTCTCACACGAGGTTCATGCACACACACACACACACACACATTAGATAGGTTAGCTGTTCACTGCTTCAGTCAAATTCTACTCAGTATTCAAAGGCTATATCAGTTACACTGAGGGTGAATAAATGTAGTAACTACTGACTGTAAGGCATCGCAGTCTGTTGCCACTCATGATCCATCCAGCTGTTGTTAAGTCGCTCTTTCTCTTTAATCTGTTCTCATTATAAAAACATAAACAAAACATGACCTAACAATGGAAATAAGATCCACACACTGATGTCCAGCATTTCTTACTCAACATGTTATTTTACGTCTTGCTGCTGTAAAGTTTCTGCATTTTTTTGTATCATTTTATGCACTTTTCATCTATATTTGTTTTTCACTGTATATGTTCGTGTGTAATAATATGCACCAATATACCAAGACTATTCCTCGTATGTGAAAATGTACCTGGCAATAAACCTTATTCTGATTCAGAAATGATGCAAACAACTAGATGAATAGATTTGGTTTTAACTTTGGTATGGACTTCTTTTATCAGATAGGTAATATGCACAGTTCAGTGTGCTCTATATTTCCTTATGCACACATGTGCATAGATAGCACCGATATTTTCCCATTTTACATATAAAATTTATATATAAATCTGAACTGCTGATTGCACCGGGGCATTAATAATAAAGAATGCATGACATTCACAAACAAACTAATGCAGACAGACTGTGGGCATCTCCTGATCCACTGGTGAAAAAGACGGAGTGGAGATGTGAGTTCATTAAATATGAATCCTACACATTAATGTCAAAGTTGATAAACTTTTACTTCACTCCACTTTGGTGGAACAACTTTGTTCACAAATCTTTCAAAAACCTGTGTTAGTGAACACTTCTCCTTTGCCGAGATAATCCATCCACCTCATAGGATGCTGATCTGACAGCATGGGTATTGCACAGGTGGGCCTTAGGCTGGCCACAATAAAAGGCCTTAGGCTGGCCACAATAAAAGGCCACTCCAAAATGTGCAGTTTCACTGTATTGGGGGTCTGGAAACCAGTCAGTATCTGGTGACCACCATTTGCCTCACGCAGTGCAACACATCTCCTTCACATAGAGTTGATCAGGTTATTGATTGCGGTCTGTGGAGTGTTGGTCCACTCTCTTCAATGGCTGTGTGAAGTTGCAGTCAGGTCGAGACCCCGATGAGGATGATGAGCATGCAGATGAGCTTCCCTGAGATGGTTCCTGACAGTTTGTGCAGAAATTCTTTGGTTATGCAAACATTGTTGCAGCAGCTGTCCGGGTGGCTGGTCTCAGACGATCTTCTAGGTGAAGATGCTGGATGTGGAGGTGCTGGGCCGGTGTGGTTACATGTGGTCTGCGGTTGTGAGGCCGGTTGGATGTACCGCCAAATTCTCTGAAACACCTTTGGAGACGGCTTATGGTAGAGAAATGAACATTCAATTCACGGGCAACAGCTCTGGTGGACATTCCTGCCGTCAGCATGCCAACTGCACGCTCCCTCAAAACTTGTGACATCTGTGGTGTTTTTTAGAGGGGCCTTTTATTGTGGCCAGCCTAAGGCACACCTATGCAATACCCATGCTGTCTGATCAGCATCTTGATATTTTTGTTCAGTATATATAATATCAGTTAACTGATATTGTTAGTTATATCGAGCAAAGATATTTTTTAATTCTACCATGTTTGAAGTATTCAAACCGACGTTTGTTTATCCCTGTTCACTGTACTACTGCAAGTTTTCCAGCTCATCAGGTCAAGTCTCCCCCAAATCTCAGTCTCTCCCAGTTTATCAATATATAGCCCACTTTGTGCAGAAAACACACACATCTGGTAGCACTGAATAGATATCAAGAACACCATGCAGAGTTTAAATGACAAGATCTGTACACACATATCTATAGGGACAATTTGGCACCACCTTGACAGGAGGAGGGAACATCTCCACCTATGCTTGAATCTAAATATTGCAGTTTTATCCTCTGGACACCTTTTAAACTTCTTAAAAAGAAATGATGATTGAAGCTCCAAACCAATACCACCTGCTGATGATAGGCCACACCAGTGTGCACTTGCTCTTCAATTTCATCTTATGTTTGTCCCTGCAGCCAGGTTAAAGAAAGGCCATACAGTTTAACATCTAATATGGTGTCTTTTGATTGCATGTTAGCTACTGTATTCTTGTCTGACTATCTGTCTGTCTGTGCACCAGATCATGACTACAATACAGAAGGTCCACCGTCCCTCAGCTGAAGCTCGAGAGCTCTACAGCCTCCTCAGCTCGCCACACATCCAGGTCTGTGCACTCATGTAGGAGCTCCTGCACAGCTCATATTTGACGCTCTGTTATAAACACCTGTAACCTGTCTCTCAGGCCCTCCTATCATCCCACGACAGTGTAGCCCAGTCAGACTATGGACCTGTTTTACCCCCTCTGCCTGACGAGATGCCCGAGGATGAGGAGGCCATGAGGATTGTATGTCTGGTGAAGAACAACCAGCCACTGGTGAGACAGAAGCATGTTTCTATTTCCTAATTTAGTTTAGTTATTTTGATTAATTTGATCATTGGTAAATGGTTCTAATGGTTTAAGCTTTTGTTTGCAGAAGTGAAACTATCTTGGTGTAATTGGTGCAGTCAATATGTTCACTGTCAGTGTCTCCAGGTTGGATCAACGGGTCCTGACTGCTGCTGTGTTGAGAAGTACCCAAAATTATGTCAGGGGAGCGTTTGAGACAAATGTTTTGTCTGAAATAACAGTTTTGTGGTTTATAACTAATAATTGTACCCTGACTCCTAGAAATTACATTCATATACTACTAATGTTCAGCAGCAAATGTTCTTTCGGATCTGCAACATGATCACTGAGAAATATTGCCCCTCGAAGCAACTACAGCATGATTAACATTTTTATTATAACTGTCATGTTTAGCACTTTAGTGTCCAGGTTAGGCAAAGATGGTGGTCTTGGTGGAGTATTGAAAAAAAATCAAAAAGACTTGAAGCACAAGACAAGATGCCCTCCTTTATTTGTATTATCGTGTTACTGAACCAGGATATTTTCCATAAACTCAACTTAGCGGAATAGTTAGAAATTTGGGGAAATTTGCTTTTTTAACTTCTGCAAAAACCAAATTGTCAAAAAAAACACGTTGCAGTGTCCAACCTCACGATGACAACAAGACTCGGCGAAATAGTGCGGCACATATAACCTTTATTTAACCACGATAAACAGCGAAGTTCCGTTTTGATTCCTTATTTTTTAGTTAGATTCCAACAAGATAAAACGTGTCAGCTTTGAGCTTTAGAGGTGCTGGGAGGTGGACTGTGTTACCTTTGGACAGAACCAGGCTAGCTGCTTACCTTTGTCTTTGTGCTAAGCTAACCAAGCTATGAGAAAATATCTTTCTTTAAAAAAAATAAAAATGTTAGTTTCTTATCTTTTGTCCACCAAGAACGGAGAACAGCACGGAGGAAATGTAGGAGACGGAGCAGGAGTGATTCGTAGTCGTTGGAGCAGCCTTCGCCGCCTCACGTTGGAGCGCCTGGTCCCTGTGAGGAGGGCGTGGTCGGGGGAGGAGCTTAGAGCGACTGGAAGTGAAGTCAGGCCTTTGCCCCTCCCCAGGGGAACACAGTCACGCCCCTTTCACCCCCGCTATGAGTCAACAGGAAGCTGCTGTTTGTGTCCGCAAACCACAGAGCTTTGGAAGAAAGGGCTCAACCAATCAGCTCCCTCTGTCTTTAGTCCCGCCCCCTGCACTGGTAAGAGGAGGAAGACGATCAAACCATCCAATCACCCGTCCATTTTTTCAGTCAGTCATTCTTTGTCTGATCTGTCAGCAATACATCCAACCGTCCCAGGAGTAACAGTGAAGAACGAAGCAGTTTATTTATCAGAATCGCACTGAAAATAAACAAATCCACAATTTGCATTAATGCAGCTTGCTTTCTTAAACCTCATGCTTAATTGTTTTTGTGAGCTGTGTGATATATCAAAGTTTGATATATTTGACTTCTGCAAAAAAAAAAATTTGCTAAGATTGAACCATATAAAACTCACGTAAGGCCCTTTTTATTGCCAGACAATGTACCCTTCAGCGTCCGTAAGACGCCCTGGGCAACCCATCCTAAACCTAACCAAACTGCATATACCACATATTAAAAAGGCGCTGTAGGGTACCTTGTGCATCAAATACCTACGCTTTGTGAAAGTGTGACATAACGTCGGTATTTGACGCCCTGAGATGTGTTGGAAAAATATATTTATGTAAATCTTTGCTGAAAGGCCACCCGTCTGTATGAAGCTCTTCTCCTCAGAATGTGTGTTGTGTCTACCTGAACAATATCTCCTGGAAGGTCCCTAACAGGTTAGGAGTCAAACCCATTTCATTTTGTATAGCCCAAAATCACAAATTTGCTACAAAGGGCTATATGATCTGTGGAGCGTACTACCTACCTACCTATCCATGACCCCCGTTTCTAATTAGGAAAAACGTTTAACAGTATGGATAATAAGTTATAGATGGATTAAAGCTCTTCTAAAGAAGATTTAAGAAAGTGGTAAAATGTTGCAGTAGGACAGATTCCTATCCATCCCATCTGAGATGCTTGGCTTTCTTACATCCTTGCCTTTATTCATCCGTTTATGCATTTGCAAATTCCTCTATCCAAATCCAAAAGTCCGTCTTTTGATCCATCCAGCGACTGTGTTCGAAGATCATCCTCACCATCATCAGTCGCCACTAAGTGAAGAAACCTGTTCATCTCACCATCATTCTGCTCCTTTTTCCAGTTTTTTCTTCACTGTTGTTCTTTTTTAATGATGTGTATTTCATTTTTCTGTTGGCACTGATTTTGCCAGCTTTCCATCTTGTCTTCTTCTTCTGCCTCTCCTCATGGAGGTTCCTTTTCAGAGAAACCCAAGAAACCCAAGAAGGGACAAGGTGCCTCTACTGGCGGGAGCAGTGATGACTACGCTTATCCTCCGCCGCCAGTCTTAGCTTACAGTCTCAGCCTTCCCAACTCTCCCATCCTATACAAAAAGGGAGCTACAGGGGGACACTCAAGGAACATCCCAACACCCGGCAGAACCCCCTCTTGTAGTGGAATGAACCCTCTTAGAGCCAAAACAGCACCTTCTAGCCCAGCGGCTCATCGCTCCACTCGGCAGCAGGGGGTTAGCACTCTCCCAACTCCTGGGTGTCAAACTGGATGGCAAAATAAATGCCAAGAAGAGCCTCTAAATCATCCCTTGATGATCCACTACTCTACTGCTCCCCGTCACAATGGATGCCAGAACCAACCAAAACAGACAAGAAAAGAGGGGCAGCTCTGTCAGCATCCTAAGCCTCCGCAGCTCATCAAACAGTGCAGCGTGGAAGAGCTCAAGTCCACTGTTCAGACGGTGGCCAGCAGTATTGAGCACGGTGCCCAGGACGTTCACCATCTTGGTCAGAAGATGATGGCGGCGACAGAGATGATCACAGACAGCGTGGAGGAGAACGCCCAGGCGCTTAACCTGCTGGCTGAGGTGGTTGACAAGCTCCAGGGGCTCATTGTGGCCAGCAAACACCCCGTGTTGTCACCCCCACGCAGGCTGAAACAGCACCCTCCTCCTCCACCTCCTCCAAGGGTTTCCTCAATGTCTCCAAAAATGGTCCGCAAAACTCCCACACCATACCCACGCCGTCTCTCGTCTTCCTCTTCTTCTTCGTGCTCCTCGTCCACGTCTGTTAATTCCTGTGCGGATGGTTTTGCAACATCTAGGAGTCCAAAACCAATGAATGGAGGCTCCAAAAGGACAGTGGTGACCTTTGGTGCCCCCCACAGGGCAAGTGGTAGCAAAGGACAGGTTAGGCTCAACAATGGAACAGTTTCTAGAGCACCTCTGGAGGACCAACAAGACGGTAACACCACAGGCTGCTTGACAACCAAGAAGAAGAAAAAGAATAAGTAGGCCGAAACCAAACTGTCTCCTCGATTTGTCGCCATTGAAAATAGACTCTGAAACGGACTAAAACACAACTGGTTCTGTCATTTTTTTATTGTAGATCTACATCAGCAATTGGATCCCAATTATTATTATTTTAAGTGTAACCATATACCAGAAACAGACTGACTCAATTTTTGGACAACGCTTGTTGTTTTTCATCCCTGGATCTGTCACTGGAAGAGGGAAAAAAACTAAATATTTAAGAAGGTACCAAGAAATTACGTTTTCTCACCATCTCCACATTTCATCCAGCTATCCTTCCTACTGTGATCATAAACAATAATACATGCGTTATTGAGTCTCTGCCTTTCAGTGACAGTTGTTAATTTGTTAAAAGAATATAGATCCATCAGAGTGGTTTAATGAACACATCAATAGGACAGTGGTTGCTTAGTGACAGACAGTGGTGAAAGAAGTACTCAATTGTCATACTTTAAAAGTACAGATACCACATGAAAAATGTTACTCAGGTAAAAGTAAAAAAGTACCTGGTTTTAAAAATACTTAAGTAATCAAAGGTAAAAGTAGTCCCTCTTCGTCCTCTCATCAAAGTTTTAAACATTCGCTTTCACCTTTGACAAGAAAGCGAGGCGGGGAGTATTTTTACTTTGTTACTTTCCACCACTGGTGACAGAGCAAGGTAGAGTTGGGTGTCATCTGTATACTTATGATGCAACGGGGACGTCCACTGATTTTCCATCTCGGAGTGTTTCCAAGTGTTGGAGTCTTGCTGCATCTGTTTCAAAGTAGTACGAAGCCTTTAGTGATAAGTGATGTCACTTGAGTCAACGTCCATTGAGGCTGAAGACAACAAGTTTGAAAAAGAAACAAATCTGTTGGTGTGGAGTTAGAAAGGAGTGAGCTCCAACCACCCAGTATTTATTAAGCCTCACACGAATCTCATCACTAGCTGTAATGAGAACAGTCACAGTACTGTGGTTGTACTCTGTAAGGAACATAGACTGTAAAAAAGTCTATGTTAGTGGACTACTCTTTTGAAGCCTCGAGTTTGGCATTTTGGCCGTCGCCATCTTGTTTTTTTATTGCAATAAAGAAAAATATTCCAAAATAATGACATCATGATGTTGATTTCATCAGGGCTATGTTATAGTAACTTCTTTCATAGTAAAGTACAGTGATAGCTGGAATCAAGTAACAGACTTTCTGAACTTACCAGGTAGTTCAACTGCCTCACTTAATTTTCAGTTTCATTAACTGTGTATGTAATTGCGCCGTGTGAAATGCTCGTCTCTCGTTGTGTGAAGCCATTAGGCCTTGTTCAGACTGCCAGCCCAAATCTGTTTTTTGGTATGTGCAGTTTGTATCCTGATTGTATTCAGATTAATTTGTTAAGTTTGGACAGAAAAAAAAACATGAAATGCGATTTTTGCAAATGGGATCCAAGACGCATTTGGAAGTGGTTTAAAATGCGATTCCAAACAGATATCTTCAGATGTGTCTCAGTTCGGCCGCTCTTACTGCAAAAATCAGATTTCAAATCAAAGTATCTTTTGCATTACTTGCAACGCGGCGCACAGCAACATCCGCCGTTGTGTTTGTCTGGTGCAACAGAGGAGATCTGCACTGCGACATAACAGCACGAATGTTTGGAGGGTGAGATGACGGATCTCCTTTTCTCATGCTCCTGCTTTGGAAAGCCGCCTCACCAACGTATTTATTAACACCGTCGTTAGGTTGGTGTGAACACAAATCCAACCTGCTCACTTGCTAATCACAGCGCCGCCGGTCTGTCTCAAAAACCTCATTTGAGAAGCAACTCTGATTTGGCTGCAGTCTGAAAGCCTTAGTTGTGTTCACTTGTATATGGTGACCAACAGGGACCAAGACTGGGCATAAACCAGAGACTGTGGGCCACATAACAAGGTGTTCCACCTTTTAAAGTTAGCAGCCAGAGTGGCTTTGACCATTTGCATCTCAGTTGTTTTCATCCCATCCTCCATTTGTATTCTTTCCCAATTTACATTCTCATCTGTTCCCCTTTGACACTAAAGTCTGGACGTTACTGCTGCTTTAGTCAGTGAAGGCTGTTAAAGTTGGAGCATCTGTCTGTCTGTCAGGGGGCGACTATAAGGAGGGACGAGGAGACGGGAGAAATCTACATCGCCAGGGTGATTCATGGAGGACTGGCCGACCGCAGCGGTGAGATTAAACTGTATTAAGTATAAATGTGTGTATGTAGACGCATGCAACACTTAAGAGAAGGCAGAATACCAGAGATCTACATGTAGTATTAAACATGGCCAACATGTGTGTTCCAGGACTCCTCCATCCTGGTGATCTGTTAGTGGAGGTGAACGGAAAACCTGTGGTGGGCATGGAGCCGGAGCAGGTCATCCAGATACTGGTAGGCCACCTGAAGGGAAAATACAATTTTTTCAAGCTATGACACTAAAACAAATTGTGCACAATATCAAGCAAACAAGAAATGGCTAATAGTGTTTGAGCATTGAGTTGATGTATATCTGTTATTTACTATTTGTTCTGTGTTTTTTTTTTCCTGTCAGATCAATTCCCAGGGAACGATCCTGTTTAAAGTCATCCCAAATTCATCTCAGAGCAGCGGCAGCCAGAAATCGGTAAGAAAGATTCTGCCCCTCTGCTGCCCTCTCATAACGATGGGACATATCACAACTAAATACATCTTGAATCACATAAACACCAGTGTAAAATATAGGAGCTTAGTATCTCTGTATGAGTAATACATAAACTTCAGTGTAAAGCTATGTTTGTCAAAACAGCACTAACTTAAAACATAACACACAACCCATCTCCTCAATCTTAAATATAGCAATTAAGCTGCTTACTAAAAATAAAGTAGGTCTTTATATATTTAGTAATGATGATTTTAAATGCTTAAAATACTTTGGGTGGTTAATTCTGCAACACAACATCAGATTCTCTATACTGGTCACATGTTGTGTAAAATCTTGATCTCAGAAGTGACTTTAGCTGTGAAACATTTCCCTCTGAGATGTAGTGGAGTAGAAGTATAAAATCTCAATACTCAAGTGAAGTACCTCAGAATAACTGTTCTTGGTACTTAGTTACTCCCCAACTCTGTGCTTTTTAGCTTTGTGCTTCTTCATTCTCCTGCTGAGTGTGTGATTGTTGGCCTGGGCGTTGAGCTGCTGCATGTGGGGATCAATGAGGTTGTGTTAAAATGATTACAGTGTTAAATAAATGCATTTGTAAATCGTAAATCAGCTTTGTGGGAGATTGAATCCCTCTCTCTGTCTGTCAGGTGTTTATGAAGGCATTGGTGGACTACTGCCCCCTGCAGGACGCCTCCATCCCCTGTCCAAATGCAGGCATAGCGTTCAGCAGAGGAGACCTGCTGGAGGTGGTCGACCAGTCGGACGGGCAGTGGTGGCAGGCCAGGAAGCTGCCCTGCGCTGCGTCCTGCGCTGGTCTGATTCCGTCTGCCAGCATGCTGAAGAGGTGACGGCTGCAGCCAGAGGGGGCAGTCAGTTTAGATCCTCCTTCTGACGGCCTGCTGCTGAGACCCAGTTTATTTTAACAAATATTTAACTATGACACATAAAGCTGAAATCTAAACCTTTGAGAAGCTGGAACTCTAGTTTTGGCCGTCCGAGCATCAGTAGAAGTAGCTAAACTGTCCATTTTGGTTCTTCATTTTGTAAAAAACAAGTAATTTGTAGCTGCAGTTCAGTTTTTTTATCCTTCATCTTGCTCTCTCTCTTTCTCTCTCCCTGCAGTAAACAGAGGGAACAGTGGTGGTGTCAGCCGTTACAGGTTCATACCTGCATCAGACCCTGTGAGGACTCAGTATTATCAGTAACCTGTATTCATGTGCATATACAGCTTTTCATCGTCACATATGGACGCATGGTCGAGAGCCCTTTGTGTCAGTTTGTAACGCACTGGGAAGTCCTTTAGCATCAATGTTGAACACTAAAAGTAGGTGTAGTATATATATATATATATAACAGAAAAGTCCAAGTAACAAAGTGGTTGGGTCACAAACTGGACTTTCATCCAGGAGACCAGAGTTTATTTTGAGTGTAAAACAAAAAGACAACATTGATGAAGTTACGTAACTTGTAATGTAGTTATTTTAACCCAAACCAGGATCTTTACCTAAACCCAACCAGATGCAATGTTTGACAATGTTAACCATTAGTTTTATTTTGAAAGTCTAACTGGACGTTGCATATTTATTCTTGCTAACTTGCCCTCCATGTGGAAAACCAGTAAATAAACCCAGGGCGTTAAAAAGAGACGCCCTAGGTACCCTTTAGCAATAATAAACAGAGAGGAGAAAATAGATAGTGAAAACATGCAGGCCACTGTTACATTATCAGGTGCTAACTAAAACATGCAACACAGGCATACATAATAGAAGATATGCGAATCAACGAAATGCTCATTTTAATAGACACATTCACTGAAGGAGACGACGGGCACACAAAGCACAAACAAAACTCACTCTGCCACAGTTAAAGACCGACATGCAGATCCGTCTGGTGAGATCGATCATTTATAATGTTGACAGACTTTCTTTAAATTACCTCTAAATAAATAGTCGAGTTCAGTTTCTGCTGGAATGCAGTTCCACTCTTTAAGGGGACGCACTCTGAGTAAAGTGGCAAACAGACATTTACAGATTCGGGGAAGTAAAATAGCAGTTCTTGCTCCTCCATCACTGACCTGCTCTTACTGCAGCCCCATCCACACTACTCCGTTTTAGTTTAAAAACTTACATTAAAACGACTGAAAACGCACATCTAGCGGCCGTTCACGTACTCTGGGTGTGCTGGTGTAAACATGAAGCAGATGGTCTGTTCCGTAGTTACAGAAGATTTGGAGAAAGTATTAAGAAATACAGACGAAGAACCACAACGTAGTTTTAATTTTGTTATGGACCAACAACGAGCTGGGACTGTTACTGAATGGAACACGGGAGTTTAAAGCGGCTGTGGCGGCGGGAAACAGACTGGGAGTCATTGCAAAGTAAATACAGCGACATGCAGAGTACAAGTGTAGTCTGTAAGTCTTATCTGCATGGTGCAAAATAAATAAATTAATAAATTAATAAAAATACCAAATCTAAAACTCTGTCAGCAGCATCGTGTTTCTGCATGACTTATGAAACCCAATCAGAGAGCCGAAGGTGAGCGTCTGGGTCATCGTTTCTAAAGTCCTCCGTTTTTTGGCCGTCTGCACGAAAACGTCCTCTGGAGTTTCAAAACAAAAAACGGGACCGGCAGCGTTTTCAAACTTCTCCGTTTTAGGTCTTCGTTTTTATCATTTTAGTCTGGACGAAACAAAAGGTCTCCGTTTTAAAACCAAAACGCAGCAGTGTGGACGGGGCCTGCATCTGTCTAAACCCCCCCAACAGGATTTACTTTTAACAAGCGTTTCTTTTCTCTCTGTTGCTCCGCTGTCCTCAGTGAGCCGGGCTGATAACGGTAGGTGAGACAGCAGTGTCCCAGTGTCTGCTGTTCTGCTCCTTTTTATTCTCACATTTGATCCCGACAGTTCGGTGTGACATCAGTGGGTTTGTGACGATTGACAGGGTGCTTGGTGTGCATGTGACCTTAATATGTGGAGTTAAATTCCATACTGTTGTTTATTGTGCTCTTGTCGGGGCTTATTATTATTATTATGATTATTATTAGCATTATTACACAGCCCAGTATGTGCAATGATACACGTTTTAAATTGTTATATCATTTGGGTGACGGTACATGTGGTTGAGCTAACCTTTGCTATGAGAGATTCTCATCACACATAATTTCCTTAATAACACGTGTAAAGGCCTGTTATTATTTCAGAACCACGCCCACCCACTATCTTATCAAACTTTCACTATAAGGTCAGATAAGATCAATAAACCTTTATTGATCCCAAGAGGTGAAATTCAGATGTTGCAGCAGCACCAGGACAGAAATAAGTACCAGGGAAGAAAGAAAAGTAAAAACTAAATCACAAGCAGAATTACAAGTAGACACTATACAAGAGCAATTAATCTCAAAATTACAAGGAAAGCAGTAAAGATGCACACAGTACTCGCAACCGGTGACCTTAAACTAACTGTGCAGAACTGTGGCAACAACAAAAAAGCAGTTCAAGTGACTAAGAAACAGCGACAGGTCTAATCAGAAGAGAGTAACTCAGATTTTTCAGTCACGAAGCTGATAGATTTAAATTTAAAGTTTTCTTTTGGTTTCATCACACATCTGGTGAACTTTCCAGTTTAAAGTCTGACTGCGTAGAAACAGCTTTACCTTTATCGAGTTTATTTTTATTCTTGTTCCAGAGGACGAAGGAACCCTGGCTGATGACAAACGCATCTTAACAGGTAAAACACGTCTGACATGAGGATAAATATTTGATATCATTTCTGAAGACTGAAATTAATCATCATCCATCAGTGTGAGTGACTTCTGCCTTTCTCCTTTTCACAGAGCTGGAAGAAATACATTTTGGTAGGTGTTCCCACTCAAAATGTCTGATTAGTTTATGTTCAAGGTGCAGAAGAAAATACTGAAGTTGCACGTTTTCAGTTTTTTGATTCTTTGTGCTGTTTCCTAAAAGTTTAGGATTAACCTCACAGAAAAAAACAAACGTATTTCCCATGTTCTCTACATGTGAAAAACATGTTCCTAGAGGATATAACATGCTTCACACATTACACCATGACAATGTTCCAAAACCACGTTTAACATGTACAAAGTACTCGTTCCACATATTCTGTATATATATTATGTGCATGTAATATGTGATGACATGTATTTTTTCTGCATACATGAAGTATTTGGAATCTCACAGTAATCTTATACATAATATTATGTCCTTTTTATGTCATAATTAAATGATCAATGAAATTGTTCATGTTAAATGATGTTATGTGTCAGGAAAGAGAAACCTGCCCTGCTCATGAAACTAAAGTCAGCACATTGTATTTAGGGTTGGCAGGACTTTGCCGCCCTCTGCTGGATCACACTGACATGTGAAACCTCTCCTCGCTTTGTTTCACAAGACATGAAAAATTCATGTCACAATGAAAAAAATTCACAGTTGTCCTTTTTAACAAATGTTTTTTATGACACCTTAATGCACAAAATGCTTTGTTTGATTAGTTTATATTTAGGCTTTTTCTCTCTTCCATAGACGTGGCAGCCTCAAGCATTTGGGGCCCGTTTTGCAAATCACCTAATATTATAAAACATTTGCATACATGAAAACATGTATTTATAGCTGAAAACTTAACTTTTCAACTTTTCAACCCTTCATCCCCTCCTCTCGAACCCTTCATCCCTCCTCTCTTGACCCCTCCTTCCATAACTATTCATCATAATAAACCACTATGAAATCTAACGTTGGCGTGGTCCTTGTTAGTGAAATTTAATATTAATACTGAAGAGGTTTAATGTTTTCTTCCTGCAGATGAGGCCGACTGTGACGTTACTGATGGAATCTACCTGGGTAAGATAAAGTTAAAATAATTCAGGTAGTTAGTTTGTTAATTAGTGAGTTAACACTCTATGTTTGTACACACAACTAATGATGAAGGAGTGAATGAATGCTAATGCGTTTTGTGCTGTTGGCATGTTCATGGATTGAATGGATTAATGAATTTAACAAGAATAGAAACAACTGAATAAAAAAAGTTAAGGACAGAGATTTACTTCTCAATTATTTGTGTTTCAGCTGGTTTCCGTCGGAGTTTCCGTCTCTGGAGGAGGACATCCTACAGGAGGAGGCGACAGTCCTGCACCTCCTGCTCACCCAACAGCAACGCTCTGGCCACCCCCTACGAGGAAGTGGCTTTGTACCAGCGCCCCCCGCAGGAGAACCACCGCCTCATCATCCTCAGCGGTGAGAGATTTAAATTACCACCTGAAACTAAGTGTGTAGCAGTGTGTATTCATCACAGTGTGTCTTTAAAATCTGTACAGAAACACTGTCTGTCCTTAGAGCCTCAGATAAAAGGGTCCGGGAGACAGGAAAAAGTTCACTACAGGTTGCACTAAAACTTAAGAAATGTCACAGCTAGTAAAGAGTTTAGTGATGTGTAAGTCTGTTTACGCTGTCCAATCAAGAGCAACCAGCTATGTAAACAGGAAGTCACTGCAGCATCACAAGCCGGCATAACTTCCATGAATACATCTTTAGAAAATGGAGGTGTTATTTTTATTTGTCTGCACACACGGGGAAATTTGTGTTTCAGAGTTACGCAAAGCTAACTGACCCCGTCGTTGATTTTCCTTTCTGTAACTGGTCTCTCACAAGTCGCCCAAAGTGCAGTTGTGCCGCATGCCAGCACGTCCTCACGCCGTAAAAACGGCCGTACAGTTCGATGATGCAGCAAAAAGCAGCAGCTTTTTACAACCCATGTTTAGGGTTTTTGTTAAGCTGCGACCTCTGCTGCCAGGAGGAGGCGCAGAATAAAGTGCGACAAAGTTTGTGCAAGGAGGTGGTGAGGGTGGATGGATGTTGTAGTCAAGACCGCCCAAACCGAGACCGAGTCAAGCCCAAGACCAGAGTTTATCAAGACCGAGACAAGACCAAGACTTTTAGGGCTGAAACCAAGTCGAGACCAATAATAATCTTTATTTGTAGAGCACTTTTCAAAAACAAGTTACAAAGTGCTTTAACAAGTGTAAAGACAATAGTACCCAAGAGGCAGTAATACAAAAACAATACAAGATAAAACCATGAAAACATTGAAAAGACTAAAATACACGTTTAAGATAAATATAAAATTAGTAAAATAGAATAAAATAAAAGGGATAAAATAAAGTCAAATAAGATCGGGAAAAGCTCTCCTATAAAAGTATGTTTTAAGAAGGGACTTAAAAGAGTTCACTGACTCAGCCGACCTGATTTCCTCGGGCAGGCTGTTCCAGAGCCTCGGGGCCCTGACAGCAAACGCTCTGTCCCCTTTAGTTTTCAGTCGAGACTCTGGAACAGACAACAGACCTCTGCCCGAGGATCTCAAGGTACGTGCTGGTGCGTATGGGACTAAAAGGTCAGAAATATAACAAGGCGAGAGGCCATGAAGAGCTTTAAAAGTGATCAATAGAATTTTAAAGTCAATTCTAAAACATACTGGGAGCCAGTGTAATGAAGCTAAAATAGGGGTAATGTGGTCATATTTCTTTGTTCTGGTTAAAAGCCTGGCAGCTGAGTTCTGGACAGTCTGGAGTCGATCAGTAGATTTTTGGGTTAAACAGGTGAAAAGGCTGTTGCAATAATCCAGGCGTGATGAGATCAAGGCGTGTAAAATGGTCTCGGTGTCCTTAAAAGTTAACATAGATTGAATTTTTGCTATATTTCTAAGTTGATAAAAACATGATTGAACAAGCTTTGTGGTGTGCTGCTCGAAATTTAAATTACTATCAAACCAAACACCAAGGTTCTTTGCCACAGGCTTAATGTGATTTACTAGGGAACCAGCAGATGGCAGTATTTGATTTGCCATCTGCTGGGACCCGATGACTAGGATTTCTGTTTTGTCTGAGTTCAGTTGGAGGAAATTATTTGACATCCATTTTTTAACTTCACAAAGGCAGTTGTTAAGTGAACTCAGCATTCCAGGGTCTGTGGATCTGACGGGCAAGTTTATTTGTGTGTCATCAGCATAAATATGAAAAGAAATACCATGTTTATGGATAATATGTCCAAGGGGAAGCAGAAACATCCATCCATCCATCGTCAACCGCTTATCCTGTGTACAGGGTCGCGGGGGACGCAGAAACAAGGAAATCTAAATGGGTCCTAGGACCGACCCCTGAGGTACACCATATTTAACTGGACAGAACAAAAAGACATAGTGGTTTACAGACGCGCAAAACTTCCTATTTCACAGGTAGACCAAGACCAGTTCCCCACATTACATAACACACAGTAAAATGTGGGACGAGATCAGAGGTACTTCTCTGATTGATCTGAAAGATCCACATTCCCATTAAAACACCCACATACAAACACTAAGAGCTGAAATCAATATAAGCATCTTTATTCAACACTTTTCCACGCTGACTATCGCGGGGAGTGGGGACAGTCGTTAACGGTAACAACACATGTTTAGTTACGGTTATTTGTTGCATTTGAAGCAATAAGTTTACATCCGATCAAAGTTGGGATGTTAACAAATAAATCAGACAATGCAAAAGCGATTTATTGATATTCATAAAGTTATAGTCTTAACTGGCCTTGAAATAAAATCCAGAGTCCTCAATGTCTGAGACCGAGACAAGACCGAGTACAAATGCGTCCGAGATGAGACCAAGACCATCAAAAAGGGGTCTTAAGACCGGTCTTGGTCTCAAGACGAGTACTACATCACTAGAGTCAGGTAAACTCTGGACTTTCACTCAGGAGACTGAGGTTTAAATCTGGGTGTGAAAATCTGACGGATTTCACATGCAGTCCCTCTTAAAACGATTTGGTGGAGTAAATATTTTCCTCCTACTCCTTTGTAAAATACTGTTTTATTTTTATTATTAGTCCCTACATTCCTTTGGATCAAATTGTCTGAGTACCATCCTGGTTTTAGAACATCATTTTGTTCCTATGAACTGTTTGTTCCTCTTTCTTCTACATTTATGAACAATATTTTGCTGCCGTTAAACGTGTCGCGTGTCTTTCCCTCTCTGGACAGGAGCTTCAGGAGTTGGAGTTAACGAACTGAGGAAAAGACTCATCAAGCTGAACCCTTCGACCTTCCAGGGACCCGTACCTCGTATGTGCTCTCCACAATTTATTTAATATTTAGTGTTTCCACGTGGGTTAAAATAAGTTTCATGTTTTACATTGTCCTTCACATGGTGACCACAATGATGGAGAAGAAAAAAAAAATAATATCCACATATTATCCACATGGATATTTAGATGTGATCTAAATTCCTAGAAAATGTATCACCAGAATTATATTTTTCTCAATTTCCTCCTAGAGTTTCCGTAGCTTTGAGACCAAAATATAAATCACCTGGTTTATTGGTGCTAGAAGTTAATTAACGCTGAACATCTTTTTAATCTGTTATCTGTTTGATTCAACTTTTAGGTTGACAGTGTTGAACTGATAATTACATACCTGTTTTTCATTGAGTGTCGCCCTGTTCCTCCAGACACCACTCGTCCAATCAGAGCAGGGGAGCAGACAGGAAGAGAGTACCACTTTGTCACCAAAGAGCTGTTTGAGTACATGGTCTGCAACCACAGGTAGGCCTCGCTGTCTTTTTCCTTTTGACTATTTACATGTTTCATTTTTTGTTTTATAAATTGAATTGTACAGGTGCATCTCAAAAAATCTGAATATCGTGGAAAAGTCACCAGAGCCAGACTGAGAGATTAAAGGCTCAGGAAACCTTTGCAGGAGTTTGAGCTGAAAAGAGCTTTTTCTTTCAAAATTCTTTATTCTAAAATTCTAATACAGTATCAGAGAAAAGAAGAACAAAAAAAGGCTTGAAATATTTGCAATTTTTTTTACATTTTGAATGAAATTATTGAAGAATATGAAGTTTTGTTTAAGCACCTGTATTTTTATAGAGATGCACAGTCCATGATAATTTTACTTAATTTTCCCACTGATTAAAACTTGATAGTTAACTGTCTTGGATTTAATTGTATTTGATAATTATTTTTGTCTAGCTTTGAGCCATTTACTGTCATCTGGTTTGTATTTGTGGCCCTGTTATGTGTGTGTTCAGGTTTGTGGAGTACGGGGAGTATAAGGGTCACCTGTACGGGACCAGCACTGATGCTATCGATGAGGTGCTGAAACGAGGACGGATGTGCATCATCGACATTGAACCACATGTGAGTTTCTTTCAATCTGAAGTTGTTAGGTCAGAAAAAGTCATAAATTTCACTTGTTGAAATCCTGGAAGAAGACTGCGAGCTAACAAACTTGTGACGTGAACGATGTAAACAAAACAATTTGATTTTTAAGGAAGGAAATACATGAAACACATCTGTTGGACTTAGACTTTTTTGTAAACCCATTTCCGTTGCGTTACTTGCGTTACGTTGGTTTTGAAATGACTAGTAGGTAAAAAAAAAAAGGTCTTGCTGACCCGGGAAAAAAAAGGTGCAAAAAAATCACAAATGTTAATGTCAATAGATCAATTTCATAATATTCTGTGTGACGTCCTCTCTGTGGCTCTCAGCTCCGAGCCCATTGGTTATTACTGAAGACGTTAATCTTTAAAAACGCCTCACAGATGTACCGTTTCAATCAAACAGACAGGAGGAATAGTGCATTTGCTGGGGACTACTTTCAGCAGCGGATGAATCCAGACATGTTGGTTTTGTTGTCAGAGCATCCAGCCGCTGCGGACGTGGAAACTGAAGCCCTACGTGATCTTCATCAAAGCCCCCGGCCCAGAACGACTGAGACAAACTCGGAGAGACGCCCGAATCATCACCAGCTACGCCGTCAACAGATCGTTCACGGTGAGAGCACCACAGCTATTGCAGCCACGGTTATAAAAGCACAGTACAAATCTGTTGAGGCAAATATAAGAGAAATGTAAGAGAAGTGCAGAAACCTGACAGTGAAAGAAGAGCAGGAAGAGTTTCTGTATATTCAGAGTAGAGAAAACACTTATGCTTCTCCGTCTGCAGGAGGACGACTTTGTGGAGCTGGAGGAGGCGTCCCTGCTGATGGAGGCAAAGTACAAACAGTTTTTTGACTGCATGCTGGTGAACGACGACCTGCAGGACACCTGCATCCAGCTCTGCTCCATCATCCAGGAGGCTCAGGACGAACCACAGTGGATCCCCGTCAGCTGGAGCCGGACGGAGGAGTGAGGCAGGAGAGGAGGAGAAGATGGAAGAAGAAGACTAAACGTGTTGGACAGGAACACAAAGAGGACGGAGAAGGGGACGAGTTGGAAGATGAAATGGGAGAAAGAGAAAATATCTGGAGACAAATGAAGAAGAAGGAAGTTATGACATGATGCAGAGGAGGAGAGGGAAAGTTTTTCGTCTTTCTCTTTTGAATTTGCACCAAAACTCTTAAATAGTCTGAGGTTTAAGTTAGTTTGCACAAATATGGAGGACGAATTTATCCTTGTTGGTTGAGTTAAAGATCAGGGAGGACTCAGAAAAGCACTCGCAAACCGAATGACAAAGGCAGAAAAGTGTGAAGACCGTCACAGGGTTTTTCCTGGCTCAGAATGAGCCTTTGGGAAGTGACGAGTAGGCATGATCAGTTCGCGTACAGTAAGGGCAACGAGTTACCAAAATCTCTGCATTTCCTTGTTATTTCTATATTTGATAAACAAAATATACCCACAACCCGGAGGAGTAAAAGGTATAAGTTAGCGTATTAATAAATATTACAACATTAAATAGAAAGTTAGTTAGTATAACAGGTTACACTTTATTTGGAGAATCTGACTACAGATAGTTTATTAGTTGAGATTCAGCTGTTTCACTAATAAAACCATTTTCTGATATCAGCCCACACAAAGAGTAAAATGTGCCGGCCACACTTTAAGTACAAACGGCTTCAATATTGTGAGAAATCACGGGAGGTCATCTCTACCATAAGTGGATGAGGGGAGAGGAGACTGCTGGGAAGACAAGACAAGTCGTATTTAAGTTTATGTTCTGCTTGCTCAACAGTTGTTTGATACATGGTTATTAAAACACATTTGGAGAGAACATGAAATGCTTTTTTTTTTCAATTCTGATTATTTTGGCGCTGGTGATTTCCCTCTTTGGGGGGCGCCGAAAATTCCTTTATGCAGGAAAAACCCTGCCTTCATATTCATTCTCAATGTTATCAACTTTCTTTAAATATCGAAACCAAGACCAAGGCTAAAACAAGCCCTGTCATCTGACTCTTGTCTCACTGTTCAAGTAGACAAGCCTCCATTACTGCTCCTATAACACTGTGATATATGCGAAGGATTCTTGAAGCGCTTTTGTTGGAAAACAAGTCATCAATGCCATTAAAAAACAGCTCCTAATCTATAAAACTTTTCAATGAATCTGTGGACCAGTTTGAACTGAGGGCTACACGTCTTTTCTGTTCTGTTATCAGCTGCCGAACCAACTTGTTCTCACTCCCAAGCCACCACCTATGGACACACGGTCAAGACCCCTTGTAACGCACTGGGAAACCCTTTGGCTTTGACCGCTAACAGTAGGATATAAACAACAGAAATGAGGCGGTTTGCAGTGGACGGGTGGGTCAGGTGAACCAAAAAGTTAATATTGAAGTCAGGTAAGTAATAATTTTAACCCAAACCAGGCTCTTTTCCTAAACCTAACCAAACATTAACCACTAGTTTTATTTTGAAAGTGTAACCGGACGTAGCATATTTATTCTTGCTAACTTGACCGTGGAACCCTACACGTGCTGAATGGTACCCAGGGCATTAAAAAGCAACGCCAAGGGGTGTTGACCAAGCGTCCATATGTTGAGAAAAAATCACTCTGAAACTCCGTAAAGCCCAGATTTCCATCCAGCTAACAGTTTTCAGTAGGTTCATCACTACCAGAGACATCACTATAAAAATATCCATCCAGCACGTGATTACAGTAAATGTACTTTACTGGCTGCAGACAAACGGAGCTCTTAAACTCCGCCCAGTTAGGTTTAACATCCCCCCCCCCACCCAGATCATCACAGACCTGCAGCTTTGATATAAGCACTTTGTTTTATCTTGGATGAAGATGTACGTACATGTGTGTGCTAATTAAAGATCAAGATGAAATCATGTGTGTTCATGTGTCCCCCCCCCCCCCATGTGTGAGTCAGGTTAATCCTTTGCAGGGCAGCTGGAGCTCAGCCGACTTAACAGGAGGATTAGTGTCTTCTCACTGCATCATTCAGCTTTACCGTCAGCTAGACAAACAAGCAGAATGCACTACAGCTCGTGCTATATTGTGTTTACATGTTGACATTTTCTTTATAAGGTGAAATAACAACAAGACAGAAGTTAAGATGTCCGTGTGGATTAAAGGGAAATATACATATAAGTTATAAAAATGTATTTAATAAGCAGCAGATTGAAGTAGGAGGAAGACTTTGTTTAAAGTTCCAGGAAATGAATGCAGGTCACTGTAATGTCCTCTGATGTGATGGAAACACACGACGTGTTGCGTGAACGCGCGTAGGAGGATTCACCGTGCTGACCTGGTTTCTGCAGTGTTACCTTTGACCTGTTAACCTGTTAAAGGCAGAACCAACACACCTGCTCAGTTTCTGCAGTTTGCACAGCAGCCATGACGTAACGTTACGAGTCTGCCACCGAGAAATACGTTCTATGATTTAGCTTATTTACAAAAAAAGTCCTGTAACATATAAAACCTTTATTTAATCCGGTGATCTCTTTCTTTAATCTTTTGCAAGAGAGACCTGCAGAAACATCTCCAGACAAACAAAAGCACAAACAGCATCAGAAACAGACGTCACTGATTAGATTTACAGTTTAAAATCAGCCAGTGGGACGAGACACTCAAGTTTTAAATCCTCTGTAACTAATAAGGTGAAAGTAGTGGCAGGCAGTCTGTGCAGGTTCAGGATTTAGCTGAGGTGTAACTGTGTAACTGGATGAAAGCTGTGGTTTTAAATTAGAGAAGTCATAAAATAACCATGAAAGACATCAGAACTCCAAAGTTAAAAACTTGCTGCAGAATAACTTGAAGTTTTTAACTCATTACTTGATCTCTGAAAATTGTTTCTCAGTTTTGCTGACCTAAACTTTGGTTATTCTGCAGCAGTGGAAGGAAAGTAAACAGTAAACAGCTTGGAGCAGCCTGTTAATTCACCCCGAGAAGCTTTATTTGGACTGTATTATATCTATTATATATAATTTTAATGAAGGAAGACCGAGTAGCTGGTCATCGGAGGATCCTACAGTGAAATAATGATCAAAACTCTTTCATGTAATTGTTCATTTTAGATCTGAAAATGTTTTGGTGACATTAAGTTTTTAACTTTTGTACCATTTAAGGTTTTTCACTGGAATTGAACTATTTAGTTTTACAGAGGAATTACAAACATGGCGGCTCACGTGGTTGTTTTTCTCCATTTCTTTACTATAACTAAAATATATTCAGCAATTATGAACGTCTACAATTTCTAATTTTGCAGTTTTAGCCTTCATTTGCAGGGAAAATAATATTTATAGAAGAAAACACATCAGTTCAGTAATTCAGCCCATTTGGGACGAGGTCCAGGTCCAGGAGAGAGGAGTCCCACCTCTGAGTAAAGACTGATTGGATCTGTTGAAGGAAACACTGACAGATTATTAGCGTCCGCTGCCAGCAGGTGACATCACAGCTGATCAGCCAACCGCAGAGCTCCCAGAGTGTGTCACAGCTCAGCACATGACCCACCTGCCCCTCTAAACCCGGGACAGGTCTCAAATCTGCCGATGAGCCTCCCCGTCCTCCTCCCTCCCCCCTCCTCCTCCTCTGTTCCTCCTTTCTGCTTTAGCTTATCTCCTCGCTTTGGATTCATGCTTCCAAGTTTTCCATTTGAAAGTCATCTTAAATCCACTTTCTGGGATTAAACAAGAGAAGAAGACAGAGAAATAAAGGGAGCGAGGGAGAGTTTTTCTATCCTGAGGCTCACCCTAAGACCGCTTCCTCCAGCTTGATAAGATCAGAGCCAGGAGGCGAGGCGGTGACGGTCTGCAGTGTTTCTTCACAGCCAGCAGACGAGGCAGCTGCACAGGTGAGCGCTGACACTGATTTACACCTGTGAACACCTCTTTAAAGAATGTGCTTGGGATAGAAATAGTTCCTCTTTGTGATGAAGCATCATGCTGTTCATGTTTTGTGCATTTTGGTCAGATTTATACATTAATTGCAGCAATACTTACTCTGTTGTAAGAAAAACTGTGTTCAGCAGCTATAATGTAAAACTGTGGTACACGATCAGCCAAAACATTATGACCACCTGCTGACCTGTTGAGGCCTGGGCTCCCCTGAAGGGCCGGACTGGCACAATAATTCAGGCCGGGAATTTGACTCCACCCCAGGCCACCCTGATCCTGTGAACCACCAGACCGCTAATTTTGTAGACAAATACTATTTGTTGATGTAACGGGTACCAAATACCAGGTATAGTCTATGTTCATCTACAAACATTAGGAACTGATCATTAAAGTAGCCTATTTGAACATTGAGTTTTCAAGGTATGCAATGGCCAAAACTCCAGAGAAATAGCCTACACCAATCACAGCACCAAGGCTAAGAAGCAAAAAATAAACCTAGAGGCTACACTTTTAAAGAATATTGTAGAATGAGATGTAGGCATACTGTTTGCTCAAATGTTGAAATTTTGTCTTTATATACAAGCATCAATGATATCTAAAGTATCAAAAATGTGACTGATAAGTTATTCACTTCCCCTGTCAGTGGTCATAAAGTTATGGCTGATCGGTGAATGAAAATGATTCTTTTACCGTCCACTGTTCCTCCTGTTTGATGCACTGCTCATCAGTCCCTCCAGGATTTCGCAGCCTTTTTCGTGAACGTTGTGGCCTAAAATTCCTGATTTTGCGGCAGCTTTTCTAAAAAAAATTGCGCTGAAAGTCGCTGTGAACGTTCTTGCAGGATGCAGCAGCCTGTGTCTCACTGTCTCATCTGACGTCCTCCATGTGTCTCCGCACGTTTTTTGGCGGCAAAGTAGACGATTTTCTTTATGTTTGACCTCACTGCTGCACATTCTGCAGAACAGCTTCCCCGCTTTGGTAAAGACGATCTGGATCCTGGTCTTCACGGCCCTCTGCTGTTATTGTAGTAGGTAAACGTGAGACGTTGGTGTCACACACGTCTGCTGCGTCTTCTAAACAAGGAAGTGAGTTTACCGACGTGTGACAACGTTTTGCGGGAAACGGCGATGAGAGGTTCAACATTCAAGTTGAGATTTGTTGAATTTGTGTTGATAGCTGCGATCACGAGGAGTGAAAGCTACTAATTTACTAATTTAATGATACATATTTTGAGAAGTTTGGATTGATTAGACTATTCTTTTCAGTTTCATTTCTGTGGTCATTTGCAGAAAGAATATCCTGTTGTAGAGTAAAGTATCCAACAGGAAGCTTACCTTCGAGGCAGTCCAACAGTAACAGTCATAAAGCCTTAAAAACATTCATCCAAATTCATTGCACGGGTCTAGATTTAGGTCGATCACACTGAAAACACAGCTTTTGATGAAGCATTTTATTTTAAGGTAAGCTTCCTGCGGGACGTGGCGGCACAGTGGCCCAGTGGATCGCACCGTGGCCTCACAGCAAGAAGGTCCCGGGTTCAAAAAGGATGGGTTAGATCTTTCTGGTGCTAATAACGGCATTTCATGGTCTTCCTCAGTGGATGGAGTTTGCTCAGTTGCCACTGAAATCCACCACATTCAAAATGTACGCGAGGACGCAAAGCTCAGCTTTGTTGAATGAGGGTCGAATGTTTATACGGACGCCGATCCCTCCACCAGAACCTCCTCCCTCTGTGTCACTCTGAAACAACGTCACCTGACTTCCTGACAGTCTTGTCACATGATAAGAGGTGGTCATATGTGGACGAGGTTATCAGCCTCTGTCTCTGGTGTCAGATAATAATGAATGCTTACAAACAAAAATTAATGAATTTGCAGTGACAATTAAACACAAAAACAGAAAGTGTTCTTTTCCCTGGCTCAGTGATGATATCAAACAATTAATGAGAGACAGAGACAATGCCCTTAAAAAAGCCAATAAGTCAAAACTATCTTGTGACAGACAAAAATTTGCTTCCTTACGGAATAAAGTGACAAGACAACTACGAAAAGCAAAGGCAGATTTTTTTATCACAATTATTAAAAACTGTCATGGAAACTCAAAAGCTGTTTGGGAACAGATCAATAAATTAACAGGTAAAACTTCTTCCAGTAATAATTCAATACAGCTAAAGAACAATGGCATGCTTTTGCAGGATCCATCTGCTGTGGCACAGACACTAAATGATATATTTTTTGGATTTTGTTGAGACCATAGCCAAAAGTTTCCCTGTGAAATATAACAACCTACCTGCCATTAGTTCAGATTTGTTAATTGAGCCCCCACTACATCCAAAATTTGTTTGCATATCCAATGTGGAAAAGGCAATTACACAGCTTAAGTCTTCAAGAGCAAAAGACGTGTAAGGGATGGACACACTCATGCTAAAACAAATAGGTCAGTCAATTATGGGCCCACTAACACATTAATGATTCACTAGATCATTAATGTGTCACAAGATCATTAATGTGTCACTAGATCATTAATGTGTCACTAGATCATTAATGTGTCACTAGATCATTAATGTGTCACTAGATCATTAATGTGTCACTAGATCATTAATGTGTCACTAGATCATTAATGTTTCACTAGATCATTAATGTGTCACTAGGTCATTAATGTGTCACTAGGTCATTAATGTGTCACTAGATCATTAATGTGTCACTAGGTCATTAATGTGTCACTAGATCATTAATGTGTCACTAGATCATTAATGTGTCACTAGGTCATTAATGTGTCACTAGGTCATTAATGTGTCACTAGATCATTAATGTGTCACTAGGTCATTAATGTGTCACTAGATCATTAATGTGTCACTAGATCATTAATGTGTCACTAGGTCATTAATGTGTCACTAGGTCATTAATGTGTCACTAGGTCATTAATGTGTCACTAGGTCATTAATGTGTCACTAGATCATTAATGTGTCACTAGATCATTAATGTGTCACTAGATCATTAATGTGTCACTAGGTCATTAATGTGTCACTAGATCATTAATGTGTCACTAGATCATTAATGTGTCACTAGATCATTAATGTGTCACTAGATCATTAATGTGTCACTAGATCATTAATGTGTCACTAGGTCATTAATGTGTCACTAGGTCATTAATGTGTCACTAGGTCATTAATGTGTCATTAGATCATTAATGTGTCACTAGGTCATTAATGTGTCATTAGGTCATTAATGTGTCACTAGGTCATTAATGTGTCACTAGATCATTAATGTGTCACTAGATCATTAATGTTTCACTAGATCATTAATGTGTCACTAGATCATTAATGTGTCACTAGATCATTAATGTTTCACTAGATCATTAATGTGTCACTAGATCATTAATGTGTCACTAGATCATTAATGTGTCACTAGATCATTAATGTGTCACTAGATCATTAATGTGTCACTAGGTCATTAATGTGTCACTAGATCATTAATGTGTCACTAGATCATTAATGTGTCACTAGATCATTAATGTGTCACTAGATCGTTAATGTGTCACTAGATCGTTAATGTGTCACTAGATCAAGAGAAATTTCCTGAGCCGTGGAAACTTGCTATTGTCATTCCCATATTTAAAGGTGGTAACTCCCTTCTTACATCTAATTACCAACCTATTAGTGTCACCGGGGTGACGTGTGTGTGTGTGTGTGTGTGTGTGTGTGTGTGTGTGTGTGTGTGTGTGTGTGTGTGTGTGAAATAAGTCCTCCTCAATCTTTCTCTGACTGCTACCCTTGATCTCAGTATAGGATTGGTGGTTTGATCTCCAGCAGTGTGTCCAGGAGCAAGACACTGAACCCTAAATGACTCCCATAGTAGCTTTGGATAAAAGTGTCAAATGAATGTAGGTAAAAAGTCAAACTGCTGCTTCTAAACAACATGGTGGTTACTGTGGTTTCAGTGTGCACACAGTGAGTTCATTAAAAGGTAACTTCTGTATTTTTCAATTCCCTGCAGTGAGCAGCAGCGAAGCAGGGCTGCAGCCCCGTCAAAGAACGTCCACTAAAGAGCTTGTTTTTGACCTTTTTGTTTAACCAGAAACAGTCGCTGTATCGCTCTCGTAAAAGGCTCCATTGACAAAAATAGTAATTGTACCTCTCTGGTCTATCGCTGCCTCAATGGGTTAGTTTGTGTTATTGTGTGACTTTAGTGTTTTTAATCCACCAAAGTCACAGTAGATCAGCAACTCTGCAGTTAAATAACTGTTTTTGTCAAGGGAGTCTGGTGCGTTAACGAGAGCGATATGGCGACTGTTTCTAGTTAAACAAAAAGGGTTTTACTCTCTCTCTCTCTGTAGGGATCCTTTCTACAATGCTGTCAGACACTTTAATAACAATCTGAGGCTGTCAGCAGCAAAAAGAAACTCTTTTATGGACGGACTTTGATGGGGCGCAAGGATTACATTGCACCTGTTTCACCTGCTGATAAAGCACAGGACCAAGGTAAAAAAAAAGGGTCCCAATTGGTCACATAGACACAAAAACATAAGGAAGGAAAATAAGAATCCCAAAGTTACCCTTTAACATACGTCCACATGCTGACATACTGCAGTGTGCTGTCTTGGACTTAAACAAAAAAGCTGAATTCTCTTTCAATAACTTTTACAGTTTTCTTTGTGGTGTGTTTCCTGAAGCTTTGCTCAACCACCTGTCTTCAAAGCTCAGGCTAATCCAGTTATCTCAAACAGGCATCAGCATCCAGCCAGCGCCAGATCCTCGTTAAACGTTAATTAACTGACCTAAATGCAAAACCTAAATTAAAAACTCTCAAAAGGGAAGTAGTCTGCTACATGCAGAAAGACCCTTGGACCTGACGGACATTTTGATCTGTCGATCTCAGAGAAACGCCAGCATGCCCACCGTCAAGAGCAAGAAGAAGAAGCCGAAGAAGGAGGTCCACGACGGAGAGGAGCAGGGAGACGGTAGGACAGAGTGACAGATCCTGTCCTCTCTGATCTCTTCTGTTCTGCTTCACTCTGTTCTGTTATGTTCCTCTGCAGCGGGCCTGGAGGTGGAGATGGAGGCAGTGAGAGAGAGGAGGCTCTCTGAAAGCAGAGACCCGTTGACCCCAGAGCCACAGGACCCAGCACCACAGAAGAAGAAGAAAAAGAAGAAGGCGCCTGCTATTGGTAGCACCGACGGTTATTCATGCTGCCTTTTAATTTCAGCAAAACCCAGACAGAAAATACAAACAGTAAAAGAAATAGTAGTGGTAAGGACTGAAAAGGAGTTATGGTACTGATAACAATAGTTGTAGCAGAGGGTGTCGAGCAGGAACACGGGGGCAGCAGGTGACCCGCAACCACAGATCCAGACTCCACAGCTCCAGAGCCAGAAAACCTGCAGGAAGTGATAGGAGGAGAGAGGAGAGGGACGAGAAAGCACAAGACTACCAGAATGCAATAATGGGATGAGGTTGCATACAGAGGGAGAGAAAGTAGAGGAGAGAGGAGCTCAGTGCATCATGGGAAATCCCCCGGCAGTCTAGGCCTATAGCAGCATAACTAAGGGATGGTTCAGGACTACCTGAGCCAGCCCTAACTATAAGCTTTATCAAAGAGGAAAGTCTTAAGCCTACTCTTAAATGTGGAGATGGTGTCTGCCTCCTGAACCCAAACTGGAACCTGGTTCCACAGGAGAGGAGCTTGATAGCTGAACGCTCTGGCTCCTAGTCTACTTTTGGAGACTCTAGGAACCACAAGTAACCCTGCATTTTACACCAAAGAAAGAACCTGAGATAAGCCTGTGTTTGCTGTTAAGAGAGAGCAGATTTGTCGTCTGTTTCGACACAAAAGGCCTCTTTGGCTGGTGGGTAGCTGACAAGTCCACAGGTCAGAGACACTGCCTTGTGGGAAAAACAGGGGAAAATATGCAACTCTCTCATTCAGGAAATATTATTTGTTCATATTCTTGTTTAATAAGCAGCAGAGAAGGAGTTGATGAGTGTCTGTAGTGAGCGTGAGGACAGTGACAGGCGTTAGACTGCTGTTGTGTTTCGTACATAATATAATTCAAAAAGTGAAACTTTCATATATTTTAGACTCATTGCACAAAGAGTGAAATGTTTCAAGCCTTTTTTATTTGAATCTTGATGATTACATTACAAGTTTAAGTCGACCTGAGAAGAGCTCTGATCAGCTCATTAAGTCAAAAATCAAAGGTTTCCTGAGCCTTTAATCTCTCAGTCTGGTTCAGTAAAATTCATATGAACTTTTCCACAATGTCCTAATTTTTTGAGATGCACCTGTGTTAACAATCCTACCCATGGTCCAACCCAACCAGACGAAGTTTGTGCTGTATATTTCAGAGCTGTCATGTCGTGTTTTCTTGCGTCAGATCAGGAAGCAGAGCACGCTGACATGCCAAACGGTAACATGGACGAGTCCATCATGGACGGAGAGGAGACGACCGTTGCTGTAACCAGAAAGACGAAAAGGAAGAGGCGAGTACGAGCGTCAAGTAAATTAATGATTTAATAAACCAAAGTGTTGGACAGAGTTCCTCCTGAGGGGAACATGAAGCTCTGAACCACGTTTCATCACGATCCGTCCACCAGCTGCTGAGTAGTTCACAGCTGTTGCTCTCTGAGTGCCTAAAAATGTTTTTATATCACACATCAGGAAGGCGAAGGCGACGGAGCACTACAGCAATGACCTGGGAGCCGAAGACGACGACATCGTCACAGACGCCCAGTCACCCATCCCCCAGCATTCCCTGTTCTCCGCCCCCCACGGACACAGCCATCCGGTCGGCAAAGTCTTCGTGGAGAGGAACAGTGAGTGGGAACCAGATCAGCTTTACTGGTTAAAGCCAACCGTCATCTTGCTTCTGATACCTCCAAAAACGCTGCAGTCGACATTATTTTAGCATTTTGACATTTATTTGTTCATTCATTTTGGAAACGTTCATTTTTCTGTAATTTAATTTAAAAAAATGAAACTTTCACATATTCAAGATGAATTACACAAAGTGAAATATTTCCGGTCTTTTTTTGTTTCTTTTTTTGAGTCTCGATGTTTACGGCTTACAGCTTGTGGAAATCAAAACTCCAGTCTCTCAAAACTATCAGAATTGTCAAATAAAGAATTTATAAAACAGAAAAGTCGGCCTGAGAAGATCTCTGATCAGCTCAGTAACTCTAAACATTTGCAAAGGTTTCCTGAGCTTCTAATCTCTCAGTCTGGTTCTAGTGCTCACTATGAACTTTTTTAGATGCACCGTTCTGTCTGTCACAGTCTGAGGAAATATCCGCTCCCTGCCTTACTGTCCATACGACCAAACACAAGGAGCTGCTGTACTGTCTACCTGATCAGATCAATGATCTGTGTGGGTGAGGGAGGGGGTCCGTTAGAGCAGATGAAACCTGTAATCAGATTTGTGCACTGGCCAACTTAACAGCCTGAGCTTTTATTTGCTTCAATCTCTGAACTCACCCGGCCTGTATTTGGGCCTTTCTCACAAAATCTCGCTCAGCAAAGATGGAAAATAGGCTGCTATGTTTATTTCAACCAGTATGAACATTACTTGTATAAACATTAGGAAGCACAGAGACATGGAAACCGACCTAATAAAGGGTGACAGCCAAAGGTTACTGTAGTTATTTCAGCTTGGATTCATTTCTATGAAAAACAGTTTTGATTCTTTTAAACCCTTACAGACTAAAGGAATATAAATAAATAATTGAGGAACAAACACTTATTCAGACTTTATGAGCTTCAAAGGTCGACAGTCACCACTTCTTTCTCGTCTCTTGTTTACCATGCATGAGAATCTAAATGAAATATACTTTGGCGCTCAAAAAATGATCTAAGTGATCTAACGATGTGCAGCGTGTCCATATTGACAGAAGTTTAAACATTTATATTTATTTGTATGTGCTAACGTCAAGCAGGCGACACGGTGGGCTTTAAGAGGCTTCATACATCCGGAGAACTTCTCTAAAAATCAGACCAGGCTTCTGATTGAGACCTGCGTTTATTTGTCAGAACGTGTAGCCACACCAGGCCAGTTAAAGGGACAGTGTAACTGGAACTAGGCTTTTTTTAATTAAAAGTTTAAAGGTATGAAGAAAGAGGAAGTGTAAATCAAAATGTCTTGAATGTCATTTTATCTGGAATCGAGACACTTTCAATGAGAGTGTAAACTTGGTCATCCGATAGAACACAAAAGAACTGAACTTAAAAATCTTAGTTTTGGGTTGTTGTTTTAAACATTTTAAATCAAGGTTGACTTTTAAATGCCCAATAACCCTTAATAATCCATTCCTGTTTGCTACATGCTGCCTCCGAGCTGTGGGTCGCTGGCAGCTGACCTCACCTGGCCAAACCTCTTCAGACACTCTGTTTGCGCTCTCCTGACGTACTACAACAGCCATTTTGACTGGTCAACGCACGGAAGGTGTCTTAGTGTTAGAAACAGCTGCTTCCTTGACATAAACGAGTGCATCTGTGCTTGCAGGGCGTTTCCAGGCAGAGCGAGTGGAGCAGCTCCGACACTCAGAGGCGATGGATGACTACATGGACCCCAGACAGATCTGGACCACCAGAGACGTCGCTATGAGGGTCCACAGTGGCTTCAGGTCTGCAAAATACATATAAATACACAACCAAAAACACACATGCACACAAACTTCCCATTAGGATGTCTTTGCATTCGTTGACTGACATTTACAGTACATTAAGGACCAGGGGCCTCACTTATAAAAATGTAATTAAATTTATACTAAAACCAATGTGCTTGCATGCAATTCACAAAAGATTGTACCGCTTTCATATGAGGTCCGAATCAGATCCAGGTCTGATTGCTCATAATGTGACCTCAGCCTGGATGTCAGATCGGAGTTCATGTGACTCTGCTATCACAATTCTGCGCTAGACGAAGGCGCGGTGAAGCTCCACAAAAGCCAGAATTAAAATCTATACAGTCTCACTATCATCTGCTCACAGATTCCCTTTCTTCCACCTTAAAATCCACCTTAAATTCGCCGAGCCCTCTGCTGAGTCACCTGCATGCTGCCCTGTCGGATCGGAAACAGAGAGAAAGGCAGCTGTGTTGCACAGCGCCAGAAACCGGATGAATGTAATGAAAAGGACAGAAAGTTGTGAATATTTGTCATAAATCAGGAGAAATGCGACCCCGGGAGGAAACTAGAAGAGCGAGATGAAATACGGGAGGGATAGCAAGAATGAGCTAACCGGAGGTAACCTTAATAGCCTCCTGGTTTAACCTTGTGCAACCCTGTGTGTCCAGAATCAGCGGGGTTGAAAAAAAACCCAGCATGCCGGCTGTGGCTTTTCACACATTGTTCTATCCCTGTTACTACCGACGTTCTCAGCTCAGAGGCGGATCAAATCGGACCTCCCTGCCCGTCTCCGTACCTTTCATACAGCGCAGCGCAGACGGTATATTGGTGCAAAACTCCCGGAAAATCAGTCAGTGTGAAAGCAGTGTGTGTGTCTGTGTGTGTGCGAACAGATTCAGGTTTTAAAAGGCCTTTCTGACTTTGTTTAACCATCTCCAGCTTCTCCTAGTTTCTTTCCATGCCATAAATCAGAATTGAACTCTGAGGCCTGCAGTGTGAACGCAGCCTTGCAACCAGCCTCAGATTTAATAAAAGCACAAAGAGGGACTCGCAAATGTTTTTCAGGATTTATATAAAAATGACCAAATGTTTTTCAGGATTTATATAAAAATTACCAAATGTTTTTCAGGATTTATATAAAAATTGCCAAATGTTTTTCAGGATTTATATAAAAATTGCCAAATGTTTTTCAGGATTTGTATAAAAATTGCCAAATGTTTTTCAGGATTTATATAAAAATTGCCAAATGTTTTTCAGGATTTATATAAAAATTACCAAATGTTTTTCAATGCACATAAATATATCATTGTATATAAATTTGAAACAAATCCACAAATAATGAACCTTATTTTTAAAGGTCCACTAATGTATTAAATAAATATAAAAGAAATTAAAAAATACATGTATTTAAGAGTATTTGTAATTTTCCGGCTCCATAAATTTCCCCTCAGATAATTCCAGCACAGATTTAGTTTAGTCAGAAACAGCCATGGAATAGAAGAGAAAAGCAAACCTTTTGACCATCAGACACTTCTGATGGAGCACTCAGGCTGTTTCTGGCTAACCCTAAACCAAAGTTAACCCTACTGTAACTCGTTCATATGTATTTACTGCTATTTAATTTCCCTTTTTTCTCAATTAATCATGACTCAGTGTCAGCTTTTCTCTGGGCTGATCAGAGGATCATTCAGATCCTGTTGCACAGAGTGAGGGGGGCTGACTCCTCAACAGTGATTGACAGCAGCTTGGGGATACCCCTCTTGGCCAATCAGGGTGTGACGACGCCCATTCTTGAAGTCATGAGAGAGGTGGGGAGCCGCACAGAGGATTCAGATCCTTCCTCTGTCCAGTGCAGAACTCAGTTCATCAGACACAGTCAGCCTGAAGCGCTGTCCTTCAGGACCCTCTGAGGTTTCTCTTGTTTGTCATTGAAAGTGATTGTTTTCATAAAAATCCCTCACCCCATTTTTACTACTTAAACAGGCATTTCTTTTTATTAAAGTACGTGATTTTATCCTCCAAGTGGATAGTTTTGTTTTGTTAATGCTGTTGTGAACGGGGTCTCAGGCTCCTGTCCCCGGAGCTGAGACTTGTGAACAGTACAGCCGCAAAATTGGTAACCAATAAGGGGACACGTCACACAAAGCATAATCTTTCAAGTAAGAGATTAAGTGTCTCATCTTCCGATGTTTGTCCGACAAATGTGTGAATTATGACCCCCAGCAGAGCTCATCACTAAAGAGGTGTAATAATCAGAGTCCAGGAGTTGCAACAAGACTAAGTTTATTAAATAAACCATGAGAACCCAGCCCAGAACACCAAACATGATGACGGGCCGTCCAAAATACACTGTACTGACCGTGTCCTATACTTAGCCGCTACTGGTCGCGAAGTTGTTTGAATTGTTTCAAACGTGTCCTCAGAAAAATGGTGTCCAGTTTTTTCCAATAAATTGCAGTTTAAGGCGTTTTACTTCCTGCGTCCTTACAGAGTCCATTGACCGCTTCCAATAAATAATACTAAGTCATATAAAATACAAACATAATCCGCGCACAGTAAAAAAAAAAACTGTTTGCGCCTCTTCTTTAATTAACAACACCTGTTTTCATCAACACAAAAACTTAAATTACCTGAAGCAGCATCGGCCTTAACGCTTCAATATCATGCCCCCTGTGGCTTGGAGGGAAACAACCCTTACGGCTTCCACACACGAGAGGGAACCATAAAGGGCTGTGTGGGATCTGGGGGTGCTTTACACTAAACCTAACAATGCAGAAATAAAGCCACAAAAACTACCAGAGTCATCAGAACATAAAGGAAACAAAGGATCTGCAAAAACACAGATCACAATACTGCTGCCATGGCTGGAAGATGGACGGGAGAGAACCAGAGCTTGCAACCCCCTTTTCCTTAAATTGTACACCTGAGGAAAGAAAAGTCCTCATATACAAGTCAGAACCAGTGGAGTACATATTCTGAAATCAAAGAAATAAAAGAAAATCATGTCTTTAGATGAAGAAACCTTGAGCCATGAGCAGTGCGTTTCTATACAACTCTGGCACACCTACATTACTGCCTGTGTCCACCTGTGGCGATAGTCTGGAAAGTCGCTTGTTGACCTGAGGGAGAGGAGTTACTCCGTCTGCTTCATACTGCTGTATGAAAGTGCTTTAAAAGGGAAGGACTAATTAGAACACCTGCTGATCAATCTCTGGGTCTGCTCCTCTGCTGTAGGCCGCACCTCACTGCTAAAACATAAACTCGAATTGAGCAGTGATGTCGTGGTTGCCCAGCGCCCCTGTCGATTGGTCCTGCAGAAGACCGTTAAAGAGCAGACCCAAGCAACGCTCTGTAAGGGTATCATAGTGCCTTCCAGTTCACCACTTTTGATCTCAACAGTGGTTCTTGGACCCTGACAGTCGAGCCTTCACAGCGTTTGTTACATGTTCTAGATGTAAAGTTACCTTTTGGCCTGAAGGGAGCCTCAGTCGCTAGTTTCAGGTCTTCATCAACACAGCATGATGTTCATTTAGTAACTTATGGTCCCATTTAGAGGAACATAGACCATAAAGTAGGGGGGGCTTTAGGGCGGGGCTACAAGCTGATCAATCAGAAACCAGTATTTTTTACACACGTCTTGTGGTGTGTTTGATCTCCCTCTGCAGGGTGATCGGCCTCTTCTCTCACGGTTTCCTGGCCGGCTACGCCGTGTGGAACATCATTGTCGTGTACGTGTTGGCGGGCGAGCAGCTGAGCACGCTGCCCAACCTGCTGCAGCAGTACCACCTGCTGGCCTACCCAGCTCAGTCTCTGCTCTACCTGCTGCTGGCCATCAGCACCGTGTCTGCGTTCGACAGGTCTGAGGAGCTCTGCGTGTTCTCCCAATCTACCATAGTTAACCAGAACATATCACAACCACAACCGCCACATGTTCAGTCAGCCAACAGCTTTGTGTTTGGTGTGCAGGGTGAACCTGGCCAAGGCCTCCATGGCCCTGAGAGGCTTCCTCACCCTGGACCCTGCTGCTCTGGCTTCTTTCTGTAAGTGAGACAACGGCAGGATGATGGTGAAGATGATGATGTATGTTTTAACAACTCCCCTCTCTGTGTTCAGTATATTTCGTAGCCCTGATCCTGTCCCTCAGTCAGCAAATGACCAGCGACCGCATCAACCTTTATCCTACCGCCAACGAGACTCTGTGGTGAGAGCTTATGTTCTGTTGGCTTCTGTTGTGGTCGTATCGGATGTGTTGCACTAACCCTCACCTCCTCCAGGCCTCCAGGTTCAGAGCAGCAGATCCTGCAGCCGTGGATTGTGGTGAACCTGGTGGTGGCGCTGTTGGTGGGCCTGGCCTGGGCGGTCGTCTCCACGCGGCCGGACATCGACTACACAGAAGGTGTGTGGAGCTATTACGCAGATTAATTGTTGTAATATTCCCGAGCTCAGGGCCTGCAGCAGCTCTGAGACTCAGGAGTCCCCTGGACCTCTAACTTTTCTCTGACAGAGGAGCTGCTTTTAGAGCTATGAGCTTTGACAATTAGTCTTAGACAGAGAGCCAGTTAGGTGCTACTTTTACCATTCTCATGTGGAAAAAGCTTCTAATGGCTTAATTTATTTGACAAACTTCAGAGAACCAGGGCTCGACATTAACAACGGCCGGGGCCAGTGAAAACTAACATTTTCATGCTAGTAACATCAGCTAGTAATTTGCTGCCCGATCGGACCAGCACAAAAACATTAGCCAATATTATCTAGCTGCAGTACCGGAGGCTGCAGTTTCAGGCCCCCTGCGATCCCGGGACTGTAGTTCTTTTGTGACAGCGCCATCCAGTGGATTGGTGGTGGTAGTGGTGGCTGTCTGCTAGCACGTCAGTCGTGAGGCCGACGGGCGCAGCTGTAGGGTTAACCGGTCTTCATGCACATAATCAATACCTTTGGGTTTAGGCACACACCCTGTGATGGTTAAGCCTCCATTATACTCTGGAGCGGACGCGGACTACTTCTGTTTATACTACCTTCTGCAGTCAGCTTGGCGGTCATGTTCCACACATGCGCGGTAGATTGGTTGTTGCCCTAGCTAGTCGGACAGGTCCGTGCAATTACAAAAAATGGAAGGCACGCGGACCCTAGCGGAGGCGGAAAGTATAATCCTTTCATAGGGTAAGGGTAATTGGCTTCGGGGGGCTGTCAAGAGTACAAAGCTAGCTAGCTGGCAGTGTCAAAGTAAACAAGGGTCCTACAACTGCAGTTCCGTTCCTACGATTGCGGTCCTGAATCTGCAGCCTCCAGTACTAGAAAGAAGTGTGACTGTATAGAAGTCTATGAGAAAAGGTTTCTACTTCTCAGCTGGTTTATTCCCTCAGTAAACGCACTCAGTCACTAGTTATGGCCCAGTTTAGGGGCGGCGCGAAAGCAAGCGAGCATAAAGGTTATGGGTTTGAACCCCGGTCGTCCCAGGCCTTTCTGTGTGGAGTTTGTGGGTCCTCTCCGGGTGCTCTGGCTTCCTCCCACCATCCAAAGACATGCGGACTAGGTTGATTGGTGTGAGTGTGAGTGGTTGTTTGTCTATGTGTAGCCCTGCGGTGGACCGGCGACCTGTCCAGGGTGTACCAGGCCTTTAGCCCGATGGCAGCTGGGATTGGCTCCAGCCCCCCGCGACCCCGTACGCAGGATAAGCGGTTGACGATGGATGGATGGTCCCATTTAGAATAACATAGAGCAGAAAGCAGGGGAGGCTTTAGGGCGCTACCATGGCGACCTGTCAATCAGTACAGGGGCAAGAGAGTACGCCATGTTTGAGTCAAAATAATTGTTTTGTTTACTATTACCTTTTATCAGTAGAACTGAGTACATTTTTGTTTAGTTGACCATCCAGACTGAGGTTCCAAGAAATTTGACCTGTATTTGATTTGGACCACATATGAGACTGGAAAAGATCAGATGTGACTTGAGCTGTTCACACTGTTGGAAACAAATCAGATCTGAGTCACTTTGCCTGCAGTCTGAACGCGGCCTTACTATCGTTAAGATGGAGAATATTTTCGTGTGTTTGTGTTGCTGCATATCAGTGTCGTGTGCTGATGCTTCCACCAGTGACTGTAAGGTTAGTTTAGTCACCTCAGAGAGGTTTCCATAATAATGAGGTGGTTTTCATTTGCAGAGTTTTTGATGACAATGGAAGTGGAGGGATACCCGAGAGGAGACGAGAATCTGGACATGCCTGCCTGAAACTCTGAAAGCCTCGTCCTGTCTGTGTCTGACTCCAAAACAGTGATCTTGTTCATTTAAATGTGCTTTTGTATGACATGCTATCTAGCACTTGACTGTGATTTTTGTAAATAAAGAAATACAGTATGTACAGTAGCAGCTGTCAGTAGTTTGATTTATTTTTATTACAGCTCTTGACCACAGGGTGGAGCTGCTGCTCTAAGAAACAAGGAACTGAGGAGCTGTGGAGGAGGAGTCCATATTTAAACACCACTCAAGAAGTCAGACATTTTAACCTCCAGCCTCAAATCTCACGTTCCCAAATACTATTTCCAACCTGAGAGCTGACGGGAAGAATATCTGTGAGCTGGAAACTCTTCTCTACCGTCTTTCCCATGTGACCTGAATGCAGCATCAGTGTTACAGGGTGTGACTCCTGTGAACAAACTGACATAATGTGATATTACATCTATTTAAATCTCTTTACTGATGCTGTTTGAAGCTGCCAAAGGCTCAGTGAAGTGTTTCCATGTCTTCCTGCAGTGAACATCACAGCAGGTGAACAAGTGAAATGTGGAAACTGATGCACAACACAAGAGGGCGCCTTCATCCTGCTAACCAGGGATGTAGTGGAGGTTAAAGCTCCTCAGCTCACAACACGTGTTTAGGCTGATAGTAAAAGTGCATTGTGTCCCACATCATGGTAAATGGTGTCAAAGCACTAAAAGTGCTAAAAGATACAATCTCTGTTTGCTTCCTTAAAAATCCAGTCAGCTCTCTGTGTGAAGTTCAGGCGGCCATCAGTCACAGCTCCAAGATCTTTAACCTGCTGACAGTTTCTCCAGGGGATCCAGTGATGGTCAAAGGTTGAACTTTATCAGGAGAGTCTTGTGTGTTGCTGGATAAGATCAGTTCTTTGCTTTCACCTCCATTTATTAAACACACTCTCCTCACAGCACTGCTGCAGAGAAACTACATGATTAAAATATGGGCCATCTTTTACAGAGTCCCCCTCACACAGAAGGCCAACCGGGGCCACATCGTCAGCACGCTGTAGGAAGTTCAAGTGGGAGTCACTGCTTTACAAAGACAACAACAAAGGGGAGAAGATGGCAGCTTGTGATGCAGCTGTGATTAGAGTCCTCATCTCTGACTCCTTTTCCACACATTCTAGGACTGCATGCTTTCAAATCAAAAAGCTGAACTGATCGCCTTTATTAGTGGTTGTTTGGCTTCTGATTATCACTGACTTTAGTGGGTGGTGATGGCGCAACAGATAAGAATATGCCTTTGGTGTAAGAGACCCAAGTTCAATCCCCCACTGTGACCCTGAGCAAGACACTTAAACCCTCATTGCTCCAGAGGTGTGTGACCTCTGACATGTATAGCAATTGTAAGTCGCTTTGGATGAAAGCGTCAGCTAAATGTAATGTAGTTTGTCCTCCTTTATTAAGGCTGCAAAGAAGTGAGAACATGATTATACAGCAGTTTAAGGATTTTATCACACGTTAGTTTGATTATTGTCATTCACCCGGTTTGAACCAGTCAAAGGACACTGGCTGAGGTTTCGCTGGAAATGAGGGAACAAAGTTCAAATCCACAGAGCCGCTCCTTTTCCTGGAATGAGCGGCAGCTTGATGACCCCTCCCTCTGCTTCCTGCTCTCCAATCACAGCGAGCTCCACTCTGTCCATATATTTCCTGGTTCCCTCCCCTTCAGATCTACAGTTTGAAGATGGGTGTGACCAACATGTGCTGACGTGCAGCAGCTGACAGGCCCCGTTCACTGCAGAAACACATGCTGTTCAGATCAGAGCTCAAACTAGCTGCACTTCTGAGGAAGTGAAACTCAGACAGTCGTTGCCACTGAGAGGTGAAATGGCGCAGAAAGGAGTTCAGCTGGACCGGGAAACCATCTCTTGTTCCATCTGTCTGGATCTACTGAAGGATCCGGTGGCTATTCCCTGTGGACACAGCTACTGCATGAACTGTATTAAGACCCACTGGGATCTAGGGGGTGTGAGGCAAATCCCCAGCTGCCCTCAGTGCAGGCAGACCTTCACACCGAGGCCTGTCCTGCTGAAAAACACCATGTTAGCAGTTTTAGTGGAGGAACTGAAGAAGACTGGACTCCAAGCTGCTCCTGCTGATCACTGCTATGCTGGACCTGAAGATGTGGCCTGTGATGTCTGCACTGGGAGAAAACTGAAAGCCCTCAAGTCCTGTCTGGTCTGTCTGGCCTCTTACTGTGAGAAACACCTGCAGCCTCATTATGATGCTGCTCCGTTCAAGAAACACAAGCTGGTGGAGCCCTCCAAGAAGCTCCAGGAGAACATCTGCTCTCGTCACGATGAGGTGATGAAGATGTTCTGCCGTACTGATCGGCAGAGTATCTGTTATCTCTGCCCTGAGGATGAACATAAAGGCCACGACACAGTCTCAGCTGCAGCAGAAAGGACCGAGAGGCAGAGAGAGCTCGAGGTGAGTCGACAAAACATCCAGCAGAGAATCCAGGACAGAGAGAAAGATGTGAAGGTGCTTCAGCAGCAGCTGGAGGCTATCAATGGCTCTGCTGATAAAGCAGTGGAGGACAGTGAGAAGATCTTCACCGAGCTGATCCGTCTGATGGAGAAAAGAAGGTCCGATGTGAAGCGGCAGCTCAGATCCCAGCAGGACACTGAAGTGAGTCGAGTCAAAGAGCTTCAGGAGAAGCTGGAGCAGGAGATCACTGAGCTGAAGAGGAAAGACGCTGAGCTGAAGCAGCTCTCACACACAGAGGATCACACCCAGTTTCTACACAACTACCCCTCACTGTCAGCACTCAGTGAATCTACAGACTCATCCAGCATCAACATCCGTCCTCTGCGCTACTTTGAGGACGTGACAGCGGCTGTGTCAGAAGTCAGAGACAAACTACAGGACGTTCTGACAGAGACATGGACAAACGTCTCGCTGACAGTGACTGAGGTGGAGGTTTTACTGTCAGAACCAGAACCCAAGACCAGAGCTGGATTCTTAAAATATTCATGTGAAATCACACTGGATCCAAACACAGCAAACACATGGCTGTTATTATCTGAGGGGAACAGAAAAGTAACACCAATGAGTCAACAACAGTCTTATTCTAGTCACCCAGACAGATTCACTGATTGGTTTCAGGTCCTGAGTAGAGAGAGTCTGACTGGACGTTGTTACTGGGAGGTGGAGTGGAGAAAGGGAGGAGTTCGTGTAGCAGTCGCATACAAGAACATCAGCAGAGCAGGGAGGGAATGTTTATTTGGATTCAATGACAAATCTTGGGCGTTACATTGTGACACAAACAGTTATAAATTTTGGTACAACAAAGTCAAAACTCCCGTCTCAGGTCCTCGGTCCTCCAGAGTAGGAGTGTACCTGGATCACAGTGCAGGTATTCTGTCCTTCTACAGCATCTCTAAAACCATGACTCTCCTCCACAGAGTCCAGACCACATTCACTCAGCCTCTCTATGCTGGACTTCGTCCTTTTTCTTCTGCTGAGTTCTGTAAAGTGAAATAGTCAGAAGTCCTTTCAGGGACAGTGGGTTAAACTCTGTGTTTTAATCCTTAAACTTCTTTTGTCTTCATGTTTGTTGCTGAGAGCTGATTGTTGGGGCATTTCTTCACCTGTCAATCAAACATGTGGGCGGGACTTTGACGTCTTCTCATCAGCTGCTGTGGAAATGTTGGAGCTCCTTCCTGTGTCTGTTTAGCCATGGAGGCCATCACTGCTCAGGATGACTTTTGTTTCTCTGCATGAAAATGGAAACTTGTCTGAGCTCTAAATGTTTGTTGAATATTTGGATTGATGTATTTGTATGTTGTTGTTTCTCTTCCACTGCATGGGTCTGAAGAGAGAAAGCAGCAGACCTTCCTTTATCGGAGAGACTTTGTTCTCACTTTGGAAAGAAATCTAGAATTACATTCACATTTATTTGTTTGGCAGAGCAAATGTTGTTGTTGTTGTTGTCTAAATGAGGGACTATGAGGGATTATAAAGTGTAATTCTCCTGATCAGAATCAATAAGGAGATGCTTCATTCTTTTCTTTGACAGAGCTGAGATTCTGCTCAAACACACTGATTGTGTGGATGAAGTGAATCTGAGTCATTTACCAGACTTTACTGATGGGATGTGTGAACAAACTGAAGGTTTACATGATGAATAAAGCAACATGAACAAAGTCTTTTCTTCTCCTCTTCATTCCAGGGTATCAGACAGAGCTGACGGAGAAAATGTGAAACTAATCTGAGAGTAGAACTGAGGCAGTTTTCCTCCTGAAACACCACAAAGTACAGAGTTCATGTTCAGAGCAGAAGAGCGTTTGTCAGTCAGTCTCTGTCACTAAAACAGCTTTGTCACAGAGAACTGAGCAGAGTTTTCTGTGTAGCATGTGCAAAACTACACTGTAAACCCCAATAAGTTCATAGTACTCAAAACTTTTGTAGAAACTGATTACATAATAACTTTTGAGGTAAGTAACTTAATATTTTTAAGTTAGATTTTTTTAAAAGTTACAATCTAATCAAACTTTAAAAAATTAAGTTAGTTACCTTTAAATGTTTAAGTTTGATTAGATTGTAACTTTTAAAAAAATCTAACTGAAAAATATTAAGTTACTTACCTTTAAATGTTTGAGTAAGATTTTTTTAAAAGTTACAATCTAATCAAACTTAAACATTTAAAGGTAAGTAACTTAATTTTTTTAAGTGCACTATGCTTAAAAATATTGTTTAACACTCGCACATTTTTTGTTTCTCCATACTTCATTATTTTGATCCAATGGTACTAAAAAAATATGCTTGTGTATAACCCACAAGCTAATGAAATTTACAAGTTAAAACTACAAAAAAAAATTACTTCAGCTGTACATTTTCTTTTTTCTTTTATTCAGTCTTAATTTTTATACAAACATGTCAGAACATCAACAGCAGTCAACAGTTAAAACTCTGTTCTAGCTCAGGTGTCTAACCATGTGACTCAAGTCACAGTTTCACCAGCTACCCAAAGCTGTAAGCCTGTTAAGCAGTGAAATTTCTTAAAATATTTAGTTACAAACCTACATGGACACAGCAAATATGTATGTTTTAGTGTATGGTTGTGCATTTGTCTCTGTGTGTGTGTGTGTGTGTGTGTGTGTC